AAAAAAAAAAAAAAAAAAAAAAGTCATAAAAATACTCTTAATCATTAAAATAGTATTTTCATTACTAAGAATATATCCTAAGGTAATCATTATAAAGGTCAAGATGGGGGAAATTATCTTCACGAATATGTTCCTTTTTATATTTTTTATTACAATGTAACATTAAAATCTAAATTTTTAAGAATTATGATAATTCAACCTGATAGACTATTAGGTAGCCATTAAAAATAATGATCATAAGGACTGTAACTAATGTGAGGGGAGATATTGATATTACGTGAAATAAAAAATGTAGAATCCAAAACTGCCTCTTGTCTTTCAGTTGCATCTATTTAAAGACATGCATAAAATACAAATAAACCTTAGAAGGGAAAATAGAAAAATTAAGAAGTTACATTAATTTTTTTTGTGTGTGTGTGAGGAAGATCAGCCCTGAGCTAACATCCATGCTAATCCTCCTCTTTTTGCTGAGGAAGACCGGCTCTGAGCTAACATTTGTTGCCAATCCTCCTCCTTTTCTTCCCCACAAAGCCCCAGTAGATAGTTGTATGTCACAGTTGCACATCCTTCTAGTTGCTGTATGTGGGATGCGGCCTCAGCATGGCCGGAGAAGCAGTGGGTCGGTGCACGCCCCGGGATCCAAACGCGGGCCACCAGTAGCGGAGTGTGAGCACTTAACTGCCAAGCCACGGGGCCGGCACCTATTTTTAAAATGTGTTAGGTTAGTGGGATTGTGAGGGTTTTTCTTCCTGACTATTGTTTTGTTTTGTTGTAAAAACTAGGAGAGAGGGAAAAAAGGAAATCCAACATGCATACAGAGGAAAAACAAGGCAAATGCCATGTCCCTTTTCTTTCCTACAATTACATATCTCCTCTAGGAAGTTTATTTCCTCTTCTCAGCAAAAAGCCCTGTAATCTATTAATATGATTAAGTGAGAGTTAGATGATGTCTGTGGTTTACCTTGAAATGCATTCAAAAAAAGCTGGATTGATGGATGCATAGATATGTGATAAAGAAAATATAGCAAATGTTAGCAATGATGGTGGTGGGTATATGGGTACATATTCACCTTACATTTCTTTAAGCTTTTCTGGATGTTTAAAAAATGTTCATAATAAAATATTAGAGAAAAAATTATTTTGAATGCCTTTAGGGGAGAAATGAGAAAAATGATAGCAAGTTTTTTATTTACAAGCAGTATTCACTAAGTTGTTTTTATTTTCTGTCTGCATTACAAATTAACATATATACTGACCGCCTGTGAGATAATGTCATTAACAAGGTAGCATGCATTTGAAATATATTGGATTTTCATGTCCCGCCTTCCACTCTCTCTCCTCTCTCTCTCTCTCTAGCTATTTTGTTTTCCTTTATCTTACAAAAGACAGTCGTTTCCTCACCATAAATATTATGAACAAGACCACTTCTGAAGTGTGGCTGATAGATGGCCTAAGCCCTTGGGACCCACCAGTACTCATCCAGAAGCGAATACATGGGGTCCTTTACTACGTTGAACATAGAGATGATGAATTATACATTCTCACTAATGTTGGCGAGCCTACAGAATTCAAGGTAATCCTGTATTCTTCTTGTCCCATTTGGACTGTTAAGAAGTGTCACACTTCCATCATCAACATTTCTTGCTCAAAGAATTAATTGTTTTGTACCTCTTGGTAAAGTGTAGAAATTGATGCTACCTTCCTGTGCATAACCAATCCCATTTCTCTTCCCTTAGAGCTAATGCTTCTATATATTTTAATTGTGCCTAAAAATCTTAGTAAACAAAACATACTGTACCCTGATTACATCGGTTATCAAAGCCAAACTTGGTGGCTTTAAAGAACATACTTTTATAAACTCATGATTTTGTGAGTTAGCAATTTGGATTGCTCTCAGCTAGGCAGTTCTGCTAGTCTAAGCTAGACTCACTGAACTTCCACAGTCAGCTGGCTGCCAGTGCCCTCACTCACATGTCCATTGGTTGGCTGTCAGCTAAGCACTGGGCCATACTCTCCCACCATCCAGCAGGCTAGCCTGGGCTCTTTCATATGGTGATGGTCACACTTCAGCCCTGATGCAGAGTTAGTTCCTTCAGCTCTTCATGAAACAGTGAAGACTACTATGGTCTAGTTTTCAGTGGTTTCATCTCTGGATGCTGTAGTCATCATGTTCTGTTACCTAGATCTCTTCTAACTTTATTCCACACAGCTAATGAGAACAGCAGCTGATACCCCTGCTATTATGAATTGGGATTTATTTTTCACCATGAAGAGAAATACCAAAGTTGTAGACTTGGACATGTTTAAGGATCACTGTGTTCTATTCCTGAAGCACAGCAATCTGCTTTATGTTAATGTGATTGGTCTGGCTGATGATTCAGTTCGGTCTCTAAAGGTATGTTTAATTTTCAAAAGACAATACTTTTAATCAAAATACATGCATTTTAGCTTAACAGAACATCAAATATTGAATAATGGCAATGTACTTTTTCATAAAAGGAATTTAATTTAAATGGAATTTAGCATACTGGGTCTTGATCAGGTTTAGGAGGTTTACTTTAGAATTTCTTAAAGGACCTTACTTTTAATGCAGTTTTACTTAAAATACTGTCTTTTAGCATGAACTTCAGAAGTAGAGTTAAGTGCTATTATATTTCTCTTTTTTACGTGTCTCTGTATATCACATCTCTACAACTTCAGTTATAATAATAACACAGGCCAACTTGGCAGCTGGTGCCTAACCACTGTGTGCTCCCATCCCACGCCGCCAGTAAGGGTAGTAGTCATGCCCGCTGTGTTTCTGGCACTGCATGCTTGTGTCTGCATAATCTCTTTGCCAATTTTCTCACCCACAGGGGATCAGGACTTAGTTTCTTTCAATAAGGAGGTGGCAGTGGTCTTCACTGCAACACAGCTGTGATGGTGGCACATCTGCCTGGCAGGCTGACTCGCTGATATTGCCTATGGCTGCCAGGAAAGATAATCTGCCTCCACAAGTGAACTTGCTAAAATTGGTGAAAAGCAACCTTATTGCCCGATTTTAAAGCAGCGTTAACATGTGAGTGAAAATAACAGGCACTGAAAGAAAAAGGAGAGGTCTCCATTTTGCTTGATATGGAAAGAGTTATGGAGCCACTTGACCGGCAAGCATAGACCACTTATACCTCCCTAATTGCAATATTGTCACAATTTCTGTTAAAATGCAATTCCAGTCAATTCACTGGATATTTGAATTTCTGTGTGCAAAGTACTGTATTGGGCACTCTGGAGTAGAAAGATAACAGGACAAAATATCTGGCCTTAAGGAGGATACAGTTTATCATGAGATTAGACTAGTACACAAAGATTAAGTAGAAGGTGGGTTTAAATAAGTGGTAGCAAAAACAGAAAATGTGGTGTGGGGCCCAAAGGAGAGGAAGAGAGCCCAGGAAAGCTTTTGTATGGCAAGTAGGATTTGGGATAAACCAAAGAGGATAGATAGGGTTTTGATGGGTAGGGATGGAATGGTATTCTAGGATGAGAAAGTCCGTCAAATGAAGCTCTAAGCTGGAGAAGTTCGGAAAATATTCAGGAAACTGCTAATAATTCCATTTTATTGAAGCAGAATAAAATTTCTGGGGGATGAAGCTAAGATTTGACGTTCTTTGACTGTCAAGGTGATGAATTTATGCATAAATTAGGAAGCGCAGAAAGAACATTTGAAGTTTTGGGGCAGGAGAATGATCTGAAGAGTCAAGCTGTGTACGTCATGAGGTTACGTGCAGCCATGTTAGGGTACACTGAAGCAAGACAAGATAAGAGGGAGGAAGATTAGTTTTGAGATTGTTGTGGTGGTATAAATAAATAATGAGGGCCTAAAACAACCAAAATTTTCCAGCTACTTCATAAAATCAAATTATCAAATGTAATGTCTGGTGTCTTAGAAGACTATGTAGATGTCCTAAAACAAAAATGGTGATTTTACTCTAGCAGTTTTCTTACTGCTTTCACCTACTAGATTCAAAGTGTCTTTTCACTTGCTAATTGATGCCAAATTCAGACATCTTCAATTGGGGAACTGGCAGAGCATCTCTTCTTATTGCAGTCTATATGAATAGGGATGGGAGAAAACAGATAATTTCCAGCACTGCATTTATGACAACAAAATTCTGTCAAGAAAATTAGGAATGTCATGCGAGTTTACTCTGCTGTAAGAAGATTTAACCCTTTCCAAGCTGTAGTACTTGTTATGCCTTATGTTCTGAGTCATCATCACACAGAATCAAATACTATATATCAGGCGCTACTTAGAACTTAGAGATCAGACCCTTTTCATGAACTGGATAACACAGATTAATATGCATAGACAGTGCCATATACAAAGGACAAAATCTTTAAGCTAAACCGTGAGTGGAATATGAAATATTTCTCTATGTAACATCTCTGCCCAGTGGACAGTTGACTAAAAGATCTTTTAAAACTCAATCCCAGCAGTAGAAATGTGAAACCTTTAATATACTTGCTTCTTATCCTTGGTCATCATGTCCTCAGTTATCTCCTGGTAATTTTTTTCATCACAAAAAAGAAGTTACAATATTTTAATTATCACATTTAATTTAGGCAAATTGGGAAATTTTTGCTTTGTGCTAACATCCATACATTTGGAGGAGTCTGCATCCTTGGGTTGATTTTCTTTCAGCATGTATGTCTTAATTTTTTAATGAAATGACTAGTTTGCTGTTAGATTGCTAAAGCTGAATCTGTTTCTGTCAAGTATCTGAGGAATATCTGCATATCACCTGGCCAACTTAGAATTATTCTCAGGTGCTATCCATTAATATACACAGATGTTACTGCAGGCTTATCTCAATAGGAAGTGTGGCTTAAGAAATCCCTGAGCTAGTTAATACTTATTTCTGTGTCAACTGGACAAACTTTAAAAAAGTCCATAGCCTTGTAACAGTTTTTGTTTGATTAAAACTTGAACCGTGATCTCTTTAGTTTAAGAAATGCACCCCAAAGACTTTTTGATTTATTGGAACCACTTGGTCTAAAACTAAGACAGCTTACTACATGGGTCACATGGAAACTGTTTTCAAGTCTCACCAAAGGGCAGAAAAACTTGTGCCTCTGTGGGCTGAGGAACCTTGTACCCTCAGTCTGAGGTGTGGTTACAAGGTAGTAGCAATGCTGCTTCATTTATTTCCCACTAAAGTCTCAATTTGCTCACTTCAGTTATGCTACTCGATTCCCCAACTTGCATGATTACATTTTTCTTTCCAGATATGGCTTGCATTTAAATGAACAAATTATCCTTGAAAATAATCCTCAATCTGAGGAGAATAAATCAGGAACTCCTTTAGAGAGACATTGCAACTGTATGTCCTTATTAGTGTTTCATTAAAATAGATTCTTTGGATTAATTATAAGAACTTTACTCTGTGAACATAAGCTCTTTGGCCGTAGTTTCTACAAGTTAAATCATGCACTCTTTATGCACACATCCCCCACCTACCCTTTCTGAATAGTGCCCACCAGTGACATTGCTGTGCCAAGACCTCTGATTTTCTAAGGAATTTGCTCTTTCTACAATTACTCAGGAAAAGAAAGGCAATTTTCTTTTAATGTTCTGACTCTCAGTACCACTTCTAACACCCTGTCAGCCTGCTTACCAGAGTTCTTTAAAAGGTGTAAGAGAGATGTTAGTAGAAGGCTTGAAGCTGGACCCTGCTGCTCTCAGAGAATAAATTTTGATTCCTTTCCTTTTTTCTTAAAGTTAAGAATCTTAATCATAATAGCTGTGAGTCTCTCAGAGTGGATGTGCCGGGAACGGTTTTGTTCTGCACAATGGTTAGCCTGGGAGCTACAGTTAGAAACAAATTGTAAATGCTTTCGTGCTGCTGAGCCAGTTTGTAGCCCTGGAATAATAACTGTCATCACTGTGGCTGTCCAGGCAGCAGAGTAAGGGCTGGTGAGTAAATTATTAAAAACACGTGTGCGGGATTTCACGTTCTGCGAGAACACAGATCTTGGCGATGTTGCTGGGTTCTGGAATTACTATTTGATTTACTCTTATTCTTAATCATTTTGCTGTTTCTTTGCCCAAGTTTATACCCCACAATAAACTTTTTTATTAAAGGAGATTTCGTGTAAATCCAGAATCATGATAAACCATTTGTCTCTGTAACTTTTCCTTTTTTTATTGGTCATTAAGGTAGAGTTCTGTTTGCTTTTTACTTGAAATATATTTTGTTGTGCTGAAGTAATCTTTAAGTGAGAGATTATATGATAGTGGACAGAAGTAAACTTGATGTCCCCATCATCTTGTTTGCAGCAGACCCGGAAATTTAATTAAGGATACTTAGTGTCTACATAAAGAGTAAAAATAACTGTTATTTCTTTAGCTCCCTCCTTGGGCCTGTGGATTCATAATGGATACAAATTCGGACCCAAAGAACTGCCCCTTTCAGCTTTGCTCTCCAATACGTCCCCCAAAATATTACACATATAAGTTTGCAGAAGGCAAACTGTTTGAGGAAACTGGGCATGAAGACCCAATCACAAAGACTAGTCGTGTTTTACGCCTAGAAGCCAAAAGCAAGGTAAGTCTTTGTAATCTCCACTATCAGTCCCCCTTTACTGAAAGCATACTATTTGTCAAGTATTGTGCTGTTGCTGGGATTACATTAGCACAGTTTCATAAAGTGGATCTTGCATACCACTGTAAGACCCAAATGATTTTAGGGGGTATGTGGATTTTTTTTTAACTTTAATACTTTCGTATTTATTTTAATGTGGATGAAAACATTTATCACTAGTACATCAAGCCCTTGAGTTTACATCTTGTTTATATTTGAATTTTAAAAGTTGATTTTAAGAAAAAATAGTCAAAGTTGGTATGCAGTTAAGGCAAAAATTGTGAAGGTGGTAAGCAGTTGACTAAACTAGAATATAGTCCCTGCCCTCATGGAGCTTACATCTAGCGGGGAAGATGACAGATGTTGAAGAGATAATTACTAATGTACTGATTGCTGCAAAGGAAGACGTACTGAGTACAGTGGAAACATATGGCAAAGAGACCTTACTGGATCTGGAGAGGTCAGAGAAGGCTTCTCTGAGGAAGTAATGTCTCAGGTAAGAATGCTAGGATGATGAAGAGTAAAGCTAGAAAGGGAACAGGAGGATTCCATTTTGTGCTGAGGCCCTGAAGAGAGGGAGAAATGGTGCATTCAAGAAGTGTAAAGGAGGACAATATGGCCAAAGTGTAGAGTAAAACGAGGAAGACTGGCTGGACGGGGGAGTGAGAAGTAGGAAAGAAAGTTGGTGCAAGTGAGCAACAATTAATATATCAACTGTGGCCTTGAATTTAAGGAATTTTCAGACCTTACATCATACACCAGATAATTTTCACATGTGCTGACAAAGAATGAATTGAGATACAAGCCTTTTTTCCTTATGAATATTTTTCTTTAATTTACTGATTTTCTTTTGATATCTTTAAGCAAATATTATTTTAATATTACAAAAGCAATACATGCTTGTTAGAACAACTGCAAAAATATAGAATGTATAAAGTTTAAATGACTATTTTTCAGTCGCATTTGCTACACCTCTGAGAAATAATCATTCTTAACCATTTAGTGTATCACCTTCCAGATTTTGGTTTTTGTCAACAAAATATATATCTAGGCTTTGTTTTGTTTTATAGACATGGGATTTATACCAGTCTGTCAAAATGTGAAAATTATTATACCCCAAATAGAAAGAACTGTGAAGCTCAGTTCTTGGAGAGCCAGGGAATTCTTTACGGTTAGGGAAGAGGAGAAGCAGCTGCTCAGTGTAAGCTGCTGTCACTTTGCGGGCGTTTTTGAACTGCCGATGAACTCTGGGATCCAGCCCATCACACCACTTGCTGCCATCCTTACCTCTTCCTTTTCACAAGTTTGCAGCCAGCAGGTTTTTTTCTGCTTGTTTAATTAAAGTTGGGGAGAAGGCAGGGAAAGGAAAAGACCGAGATTATTTTATAGAAATTAATCGACATCATTTTATAAGACTGAATCTTACGGAGAAGTGAAAATTCATTTACACTGTCATAACAAGTTGACTATGAAAAAGAATAATGAGAGGAAGAGTTTTTCCTTATTTGATAACACTCTGGTGCCCCAAAGTGAAGTTTTCAAAATGAGAATGAAAAAAATAGAGAGAGTGGCTTGGTTATATTATTTTCCTTATGTAAACTAGTACTATCTCATTATTTTCTGTAAGCAGGGTGAGCACCAATTTTTCCACCCTTTTTCTATGAAAGGAGGATCAGAAATAGTTCAGAATATCTTTATTTAAATATATACATTTTTTTTTTTTTTGCAGGGGAAGACTCGCCCTAAGCTAACATCTGTTGCCAATCTTCCTCCATTTTTCTTCCTTTTTCCCCCCTGAAAGTCCCAATACATAGTTGTGTATAGTTTTAAGTTCTTCTGGTTCTTCTGTGTGAGCCGCCACCACAGCACAGCTGCTGACAGACAAGTGGTGTGGTTCTGTGCCCGGGAACTGAACCCGGGCCACCGAAGCAGAGCGTGCTGAACTTTAACCACTAAGCCATCAGGGCTGGCTCAGATTATGTTAATTTTGTCTGTCCAGAGAGTGCCTAGTTTCAATCAATTGGGATTGATGAGTGTAAACTACATTGGAGAATGGTTACCTGCTCTAAAAGTAATTTGTGTTAAAATTTATAAAACTTACTGAAACCACTGTTGAACGTTTTAAAAATAAAGTTAAATAGGCCTTTGAAGAGCATGTGAGTGGGTGTCAGTAAGGTCAGTAGGAGATTTCAGGTCCTAATGGTGGAGAATTCTGACTATAGAAGACATTAAATTGAGCCATTAAAACTTCTTCAGTTAGCATATTTGTAAGTATTCAGAGATGAGAAATACCAGTATGTAGCCCTGGGTATAGGAAGAATACTATGCTAGTGTGTCTAACCTTGATAGTTTGGCTCATCCTGAAAGGAAAAAATTACAGTAATACTGGGTAGTGAAGAATTCTTTAAATTACTTTATTGTCATGAAAAGCTGCATATAATAAACTGTTTTCAGGCCAGAGTCTTGCTGCTCTTTTCTAGTTCTTTTTCTTTCTTTTTTTTTTTTTTGGTGAGGAAGACTAGCCCTGAGCTAACATCTGCTGCCAATCCTCCTCTTTTTGCTGAGGAAGATTGGCCCTGGGCTAACATCTGTGCCCATCTTCCTCTACTTTATATGTGGGACGCCTGCCACAGCATGGCTTGATAAGTGGTGCGTAGGTCTGCACCTGGGATCCGAACCTGCGAACCGCGGGTCGCTGAAGCAGAGCGCACGAACTTAACCACACCACCACCAGGCCGGCCCCTCTAGTTAATATTGTAAGTCAACAAAGTAGCTGAAAATAAGGACCATGATGGATTTTTAGAGACCATAACTCTTTTCTTAATTGAGTGGAGTTTATGCTCAACATCAATAAGCAGTGCATAAAATTGGGGATAAAACTTGGGGGCCGGCCCCATGGCTTAGTGGTTAAGTGCACGCGCTCTGCTACTGCCGGCCTGGGTTCGGATCCCGGGCACACACCGACGCACCACTTGTCCGGCCATGCTGAGGTGGCGTCCCACATACAGCAACTAGGATGTGCAACTATGACATACAACTATCTACTGGGGCTTTGGGGAAAAAAAAGGAGGAGAATTGACAATAGATGTTAGCTCAGAGCTGGTCTTCCTCAGCAAAAAGAGGAGGATTGGCATGGATGTTAGCTCAGGGCTGATCTTCCTCACCAAAAAAAAAAAAAAAAAAAAAAACTGTTTGAAAAAACTCTTCTTTACATGCATAGTAAATCTTCATTTCCAGGATGGAAAGTTAGTGCCAATGACGGTTTTCCACAAAACGGATTCTGAGGACTTGCAAAAGAAACCTCTCCTGGTACATGTATATGGAGCTTATGGAATGGATTTGAAAATGAATTTCAGGCCTGAAAGGCGGGTGTTAGTGGACGATGGATGGATATTAGCATATTGCCATGTTCGGTGAGTCAACACATTTTACCTGGAGTATGAGTGCTAGAGCATTGTGACAGATACCCAGAATAACAATATATCAGGCAGCAAAAGTTTATTTTCTCATTTGTGTTGTTGAATATATGCATTCCTAAACTGTGCTGGTGGAATTTGATTCAGTAACAGATTAGTTGATCCTAAAAGCAAAGGAGCAGGTTTTTAGGATTTTGTGCAAGATTTTTAGGATTTTTAGAATAGATGTACCAGTCTCTGTACTTACTTAGTAACATTATAATTTCCATTTAATTCTGAGTTTAGGTTCTTCTAAAATAGCCTCTTAAGCTGGACTCCTTTTTTCCACTCTAACTTTCATTTTATTTTAGCTGTTTTCAATACACAAATATTATTTTATGTTTCTGCTTAAAATCCTTCACCACCTCCCCATCTCCACAATAAAATTCAAATTCCTCAATATAGTATTTAACTTCCTAATGATCTGGCTTATTTCTGTAGTGGCATCTGTCATCACTCCCCAGACACGTGCTGCACTCCAGCCATGCACATCCTACACATCCAGGCTTGCTGCCTCCTTTCCAAGAACAAGCTCTTTCCCCTCTGTGCTCTTGCCAATGCTGCGTCTTTCAAGATTCAGCTTAGATATCATCTCCTTCTTAAGCATTTGTTTTCCTGATTCATGTATATACCCCTAACCTGACAGGTGGATGTTCTTTCCTCCACTTCTGTGATACCTTAAGTATACTTGTGTTATAGCAGCAACCATGTTGCTTGGTAGCTGTTTTCTTTCCCCACAAAATTATGATCTTCTCCAGAGTTTTGCTTGTTTTTTTGTTTTTTTTTGATCAGGTAAAAAAAATCCCTGAGCTACCATCTATCCCCATCTTCTTCCGCTTTGTATATGGGATGCTGCCACAGCATGGCTTGGTGAGCAGTGCGTAGGTCCGCGCCCAGGATCTGAACCAGCAAACTCCGGGCCAGAACCCAGCAGAGTGCACGAACCCAACCACTATACCACCGGGCCAGCCCCTTGTTTATATTTTTAAGGCCTGCATTTAGCACAATGTCTGGTAAATTGTAAGCAGGCGCTCAAAACATATTTGTTGAGTCAATTTTTGATTGTCTGTATCAGGGATTGGCAAACTTTTTCTCTGAAGAACTAAATGGTAAACATTTCAGGCGTTGCAGGCCACATATGGTCTCTGTTGCATATTGCTGGTTGGTTTTCTTTCTCCCAACCTTTAAAAATGTTTAAAAACCATTCTTAGCTCGAGGGCCATACAAACACAGGCCTCTGGGTAGATTTGGCCCACAGGCTGTAGTTTACTGACTGACCTATATCAGTAATATTTTTTCCCCACTAAAACTTTTTTGCCCTTTAATTTCAGGGGTGGTGGTGAGTTAGGCCTCCAGTGGCACGCTGATGGCCGTCTAACTAAAAAACTCAATGGCCTTGCTGACTTAGAAGCTTGCATTAAGACACTTCATGACCAAGGCTTTTCTCAGCCAAGTCTAACAACCCTGAGTGCTTTCAGTGCTGGAGGGGTGCTTGTGGGAGCATTGTGTAATTCTAATCCAGAGCTCCTGAGAGCTGTGACTTTGGAGGTGAGTACACTCTGTCTCTACTGTTTACAGAATGGGGAGGTGTGAAGCCATAGGTTGCTCTAAGAAAAAATTTCTCTGCCAGTTTTACCATAGCATAGGGGTGTAACGAAAGCTTTTAAATTTTAAACACAGAATTGTAGCTCTGGGAGAACTTCTAAAGTTCTTTTAATCCAACTACTTACCCTTTACTCTTCCCTGACAGCATTCTTTATTAATTTTTAAGGATTTCCACTGAGGGATATTAATGGCTATTCCCATTGATCATTTTTTATTTGTAAGAACATTTAGAATTGGTGGAAAAGAGACAAAGCATATATGACTCAACCAGTTCCAGGAAGTCAGGCAGAGCAGACTGTGACTCCAGAATGCGTGAAGTCCTATGACTCTCCTGCCCATCAACGTTTCAATCCTGGATTTAGGGGTCTCTATTTTTAGATACTCCATTCTTAATGGTCTTTAGGGGTATTTTTTCTGTACTGTAATTAAAATATCTTACCTGTTCTGAAAAGGCTGTATAGTCTTTTCCTGGTGTCTAAAATTATGAAGTTATATTATAGCACCTCATTTCACCTCCATCATTCTCCTGCTTCCTGGTTGGATACTCTAGAAAATAATGATTGGGATGGAGAGAGTAAATTGTTTTCAGGTTTTTTTATTTTGAGGGTGGGGGTATACACTTTGGGTTTGTATTAAGTAAATAGGTATTGTGTAATCCTGATCTGTAAATCTATTTTTTTAACAGAAATACTAAGTATAGAGGGGAAAAAACCCATGTACAAAGATAATAATGGCAGAATTATTTACATATAAACAAAATTCAACTTACTTTTGACTTTTAGAAATTATGTTGACTTCTAGAAATTAGAAAAGAAATAATCAGAAATATATGTGTAAGGATATTTATCCCAAGTGCTTATAATAGTGAAGAATTGGAATGAACCTAAATATCCAACAGTAGAGGAGTCATATATGAGTTAAAATTCTTAATTAGAAGCACCAAAACCCAACTCGGACTAATTTAAGCAGAGAAGGGATTTATTCAGGGGTATTGGGTAAGGGTGCATATAGAACCAGAAATGTGTCCCAAATATACCATGAAACTGGCCCAGTGAAGCTGTCACTGCTGGGCACAAGTCACCTCACACTGCCAGTGCTGCTTCTAGAAACTCGATATTGCTGCGGCATTTTTTTTTTTTGTGAGAAAGATCAGCCCTGAACTACCATCCATGCTAATCCTCCTCTTTTTGCTGAGGAAGACTGGCTCTGAGCTAACATCTATTGCCTATCCTCCTCCTTTTTCTCCTCAAAGCCCCAGTAGATAGTTGTATGTCATAGCTGCACATCCTTCTAGTTGCTGTATGTGGGACGCAGCCTCAGCACGGCCTGACAAGCAGTGCGTCAGTGTGCGCCTGGAATCCAGACCCAGGCCACCAGTAGCGGAGTGCGCGCACTTAACCGCTAAGCCACGGGGCTGGCACCAGCTGTGGCACTTTTGCCAGAATCAACTGTCTGTGGTCCCTACTTCTTTGATTCACTAGCTTTCCATTCAGATTTTGGAGCACATTGTCTGATTGGTAAGACCTAGGTTGGGAGGCTGCTCCCACGCTGCAGGGAAAGCTGGGAAAGGAGCTGTCTGGCATTGAGCACCGCTCCAGTGAGAGGCAGGCTCTGTCTCATAGGGTCAGGGACACTCTAAATGCGGAAAAGGACTTTAGATGCTAGGCAGCCAGAAAGAATTATATTTGCCCACTGTATTTGGTTAATGTTAATACCAGAGAAAGCTGAAAAGCATGTTAACAGAAGACTATAAGGCTAAGTGAGAAAAGCAGCTGCCCTTTTATTAAATGTTTTAACACTAGTTATAAGCCAAGGAGTGATTTTCTCTTCTTTCAACTTGAGTATTTTCCAGATTTTCTTCAATTAGCATTTATTACCTTTATTTTTAATGTAAAATGTCCAAATGGTGAAGAAGAGTTTGTTCATGTGTTGTTGGGGTTTTATTTTTAATTGTGGTAAAATAACTTAAAATTTACCATCTTAACTATTTCTAAGTGTACAGTTCAGCTGTGTTAAGTATAGTCACATTGTTATGCAACCAATTTCCAGAGCTTTTTTCATCTTGTAAAACTGAAACTCTAAACTCATTACATAGCAACTCCCTAATTCACCCTCCCCCAGCCCCTGGGAACCACCATTCTACTTTCTGCCTCTATGAATCTGACTACTCCAAGCTACCTCCTATAAATGGAATCATACAATATTTGTCTTTTGTAACTCATTTATTTCACTTAATGTCCACAAGGTCTATCTTTGTTGTAGCTTGTGTCAGAATTTCCTTCTTTTTAAGGCTGAATAATATTCCCTTGTTTCATTGTATGTATATTTTGCTTATCCATTCATCCATCGTTGGACACTTGGGTTGCTTTCACCTTATGGCTATTGTGAGTAATAATGCTGTGAACATGGGTGTACTCTTTGAAACCCTACTTTCAATTCTTTTGGGTGTATACCTAGGAATAGAATTGCTGGATCATATGATAATTCTAAGTTTAATTTTTTGAAAAAACAACATACTGTCTACACCATTTTACATTCTCACCAACAGTACACAAGGGTTTGAATTTTTGTACATCCTTGCTGACACTTGTTTTATTATTTTTTGTTTTTTTAATTTTATCTACCCTAATGGATGTGAGATGGTGGCATTTATTACTTCTATATAATATATATATAAAAATAAAAGGCACCAAACTAAAAACAAAAATTGTGTAATTAGAAGGTAAACACTTTCTTTTTATATAAATGTCATTTAAGGAGTCTGAATACACTAAAAGCCAATAAATCACAGGCCCTGGTTAAGGACTAAGTAATTAGTCTGGCTCCTGGGAATCTAGATGGTTTCTTGAGCTTTGTTCTCATGTCAGCATGTATATTTATAAAGTATAATATTTTTCTGGAACTCATTTTACCAAGTTGTTAGTCGAAGTTTAAGTTTCTTTGGCTTTTTTTTTTTTTTAAGGCACCTTTCTTGGATGTTCTCAACACCATGATGGACACTACACTTCCTCTGACACTAGAAGAATTAGAAGAATGGGGGAATCCTTCGTCTGATGAAAAACACAAGAACTACATAAAACGTTACTGTCCCTATCAAAATATTAAACCTCAGGTAGTGAAAGACAGTTATGATATACTATCCTAAAGTGATAGAGAAGATAATCAAAAGGATACTTACCCACGCTGAGGCAGGAATTTAGTAGGGCTTTAGATTGTTTCTACTTATAATACCCAAACACCTTTCAGCACCATCTATGCTCATACTCCATGTTTATTTCAATTTAATAGCTCAGGAGAAAAGATTAGATAAGGTCATGGTCTCCCTAGTCAAGAAAAGGCTATGCTACCATAGATATCTCAAGAATAGCAAATGAGAAAAAAATGTCCAGTACTAAGGGGAAAAAAATTGGAAGTAATTATTTTTCCTAATCTATAAGGTGGAAAGGGACCATAACGAGTAATATAAATTCTTTGTACATCTATTTTCTTTCAGCATTATCCTTCAATTCATATCACAGCTTATGAAAATGATGAACGTGTACCTCTGAAAGGAATTGTAAACTATACTGACAAACTCAAGGAAGCCATTATGGAGCATGCTAAGAACACTGGTGAAGGTAGGAGAGCACCTGGAAGAAGAGAACATAGCTAAATAAACTGTTAATACTGCTCAGAGTAATACTTTTTATGCTACAGACCAAATCATCTGCCAATGATTTTGGACAAATAATTGTTTTTCCTATGTTGACTACCCAGTTGAAACATACGTATAATAACTGTTAACTACCTTGCCTCTTTTTTGAAGGACAATATTGAAATAAGGTAGGCAAGGCACAAAGAAAAATATCAATTATAATTTGGAAATATACTATCATACAATCATTCATTCATTTAACAACATTAATTGAGCTATTATTCTTGAGAACCTCTAAAATCGATTCTGAAGTTTTTGCTCTGAAGCGTCAGTGCCCAAACTAACTGCTTTAATTTTCTCTAGATCTTTCAGTTTCATGAGACAAGAACTCTTACCTTTTTTCCTTGCAAAGACATGCTGAGACCTTCTGGGCTCAGGGTGGGAGGCACCCACATACAAGTGTTCAGACAGTCCCGGTGTATTTAGATCCATGTCTTTCTCTCACCCATTGCTATAGTTGGTGTTTCCAGGTCACAGACTCTCCGATTCCGCAGGGCCGATTGGCTTCCTCCTAGGTTGCAGCCTTCTCCATGTGGGCCTATCTACAGTAGTCTGTTCCATCCATCTTTCTCAGCCACTGGTCCTCCTCCTGCTTTTTTTTTGGTTTTTTTTGCGAGGAAGATCAGCCCTGAGCTAACATCCATGCCAGTCCTCCTCTTTTTGCTGAGGAAGACTGGCCCTGGGCTAACATCTGTGCCTATCCTCCTCCACTTTATATGGGATGCTGCCACAGCATGGCCTGACAAGCGGTGCATCGGTGCACACCTGGGATCCGAACCCAGGCCGCCAGCAGTGGAGTGCGTGCACTTAACCTCTACGCCACAGGGCCGGCCCCACCTCCTGCTTTTTTTGTTTCAGAAATTTGTCTTCTTGGGCCCACCCGGTGGCGCAAGTGGTTAAGTGCACGAGCTCCGCTGTGGGGGCCTGGAGTTCGCCGGTTCGGATCCCGGGCGCACACCGACACACCGCTTGTCAGGCCATGCTGTGGCAGCGTCCCATATAAAGTGGAGGAAGGTGGGCATAGATGTTAGCCCAGGGCCAGTCTTCCTCAGCAAAAAGAGAAGGATTGGCAGATGTTACTCAGGGCCGATCTTCCTCACCAAAAAAAAAAAATTTGTCTTCTACTGCTTGCCCGTCCCATCTCTTTGCTGTTGGTGGTGGTGGTTTATGTCTTTTTCCTTCACTGTGATTTTAATCGAGTACTTGTAAGGAGAGGGGAGAAATGGGTCTCCACTGGCCAGAAACCTTCTAATTGTTTCATATGTTAACTCTTCCAGGCTATCAGGCCCCCAATATTATCTTAGATATTCAGCCTGGAGGCAATCATGTGATCGAGGATTCTCACAAAAAGGTATGTTATCGAGCCCCTCTCAGTTGACAGATCCCTAAGTGGAGATCTGTGGTACTCAGCATTTCGGTGGTCGCAGCAGGGTTTATGACAGCTACTTCACAACCGTCAGTCTGTGGCTGAGACGCACCAGGGAAGGAAGAACACTGAGTCAATCAAGAGAAAAGGCTCTCTCTTGTACTTGATAAGTGAGATTTGTTAAAGAAAGTAATTGAATCCTAATTGTTGGGAGCCTTCTGCCTCTGACCCAAATAAAAGTACCCTTGCCGTAATTACTGACTTCGGGGTTAAGTGAAGGTGGATAGACAAAGAGAGACTTGAACACTGGAGTTTTACCACAAAGACCTTCTATTTAATTTTTAAAATGTGTTTCTTTTAGATTACAGCCCAAATTAAATTCCTGTACGAGGAACTTGGACTTGACAGCACCAGTGTTTTCGAGAATCTTAAGAAATATCTAAAATTCTGAAACGCTGCATTCAATGGGAATTGGAAACACACTGAAATATTTCATAGTCTTATTTCCAATTGGGTTGACAAAAGTGAGTTTTTTTTAAGTTGGTAAATAATTTTTAAAAATTTTCTTCTCCATCCAAATTTTGTTTAGTGTACATCTCACTTGCTTATCCTGTTCTCTCCATTGATGCACGTGCCCCTTAACCTAGGAAAGTAGTTTTCAAATCATGCTCCTTAGAAGGACATGAAGTAGAGGATGAAAGAAGGATTGGTGACAGCAGAACTCCCCCTTCCCCCATCAAAACAGCCTTGTTTTTGTCTTTTATTAAGATTTTCTTTGAACAGTTTACAAATCAAGGTCCTGCCTCTTTGCTAGTAAATATTTTTAGACACTTTGGCAGTAAGTCATCCTCCAATTTCTATGCCTGCATTTTATGGAAAAATAACATTCTCCACATTAAAATTCATTAGATCTTTCTAATAATCTGGAGTCCTAAGGTGTTCTGATCACTCTTATTGATGCTATCTCAATAAAATTACAAGTTCCTGCAAGTGATAATTTTTTTAAACATTTTATTATTCTTTACATTCAAGCTACAGAAATATCTAAGAATTAGTGACTGTACCTGAAGTTACTACAAACGCTTATAATAGAAAAGAATGGTAGTGTCTTCATCTCTTTCATAGAGGTGCCTAACACAGGCTGTACAGTATGTTTAATACACTGGAATAGCATGCCCGATTGGAAACAAAACATCTGTCACTGAAAGCTGTTTGGTGATGAAAAAGATTCTTCGTGTTGTATTCAAGGATGAGACCTACTCCCTTGTCCAGTACAATGGCGGAGGTGTCAACTTCACTGCCTTTGTAGGCAGCATTGGTACTTAACCTTATCGTCACTCTCGTGGGAATATTTGAAATCATTTCCTTTAGATTTAGCAGTGATGATTCTCCAAAGTTCAGAACCACAAGAAAAACTCTGTCTATGCCATCCAGCTCTCTTGCGTACACGACAGAGTTGCTGTCATTCCTCAAGTAGCAAAACCAGCCCCTGCTGAGGAGCAGCTCATTGGCATGAAGCAGACTTAATTCTTGATATAACTTCAATGCTGATGTGGGCTGAGTCTTTTGGACCTATTTTTTCAAAAAAGTGTTAACATAAATATTTGATTCTAAGAGGTTTCTTTAAAATATTTTTAGTATTAAATAAGGAATTATTTCCCAAAAAAACTTGCTTCAATTTTGCCCCTTAAAATAACTACCAGATGATAGATATTAATAAGTAGATAAGAATAGATTATTTAACTGCTGGTAGAGATTGCAAATGCAGGGCTTCACCTTGTCTGGGAGTCATTGCAGTATGCCCTGTGCTGTGCTGCATCTTGGCCAGAGCTGATATAAAGACCAAATTTGTTTTAGGAATCCCAAAACAAATGTCCATGTCTAACTTAATGGATATTTAACTTGCCTAAATAATGTCACTTTATGCTATATTGTAACTAGCAGAAAAGCAGCCACAGTGGCCATGGACTCTGGGAATTTCTGGTGAATTGAGGCTTCTCTGTTCTCTTTTGTAGAATAGTGTGTAGGTTGCTGTAACTTCAGTAGACATGTATTTCTTGCATAGCTAATGATGAACAGAAAGTTTCAAAGGAGGATGCAAAGCAAAACACTGCCTAAAGTGAAAGTTAGAAATTGGATGCTTTTTTTTTTTAATCATAAAAGTAATATGTGTCCATTAAAGATTTGGGTTTATTTTACAGCCATATAAAACATACATAACTTAATATTGTATTTTTCCTGCTTTTTTCCCTTTAATATTTCAAGCATCTTCTATTATTATATAGCCTCCATGAATGTCATTTTAATGGCAGAATAATACTCTATTGAATGCTTATACTGTACTTAACCTTCCTTTTCATTTCAACCTTCAAGTTTCTAATATTTTCTTATATTTTTAATGCCCCCTCCCCATATTTGGATTATTTATTTAGAATATAAATATCAGAAAGACAATTACTATGTCAAAGACTATGGACACTTGATACATAATGCCAAATTATTCTTTGTAAGAGCTGTTGCCAAATCAGTGATAAGATTCATTTCACTGTACTCTTGCCAGCCATCACTGCAGTGATGGTGCTTCTTGTTGTTGTCGTTGTTGTTTGGGGGCAGGTGCCTAATGTGTGGTCTTTAATGAATAATGAATGTTTGAAAAAACATATTCGCTGTTTATCAGGTACAAAAGTATTTATGGTACATGTATATGGTGTGTGTATATGACTTGTCAAATTACTATTAACATTTTCTATAGCCTTAGATAATGCATGACAAAGCATAATTCAGTGCCACTCACATAAGAAGTGCCCAATAAGTGTTAACTATTATTTTTGTCTACTTAATTTACCACTTTCTAGAAGTATGTTGAAGTGTCTCTCTGTGTTTATGGATTTCTCAGTTTTCTTTGCCTTTCTCAGAGTACTTGTTTTTTATATATTTTGAAGCTATTATTAGATGCATAGATTCATGATTTGTAGTGGAATGTTCTTTTATCAATTTTTGAAAACTGCCTTTGTCGCATAATGCTTTTCATATTGAATTCTATTTTGTCTGCTATTAAATATTTCCATACCTGCTTTGTGTAACTTTCTTTTTTTAATGGGAAATGCATACACACTATATGAAATTCAGTTACAAGAATATATAAAATGAAAAGGTTTTCTTAACACCATCCCCTAGCTTCCCAGTTCCTCTCTCAGAGATAGATAATGTTACTGTTTATGTATTCTTTCATTTTTATGTATCATATGAAATTATACATTCTGTGCCTATGCAAGCATATGTAGACATACTTTTTCTTTCTTTACACAAATTGTGGCATGTTACCATTTTGTACCTGCTTTTCATTATTTATTAATTCATTATTTATTATACATTATATTAATCAAATATTTCATTATTTATTAGAGATGGTCTTATATCAATGCACATAGAACTCCTTCATTATTTTTAAAAGTTGCATATTAGGGCCGGCCCCGTGGCTTAGCAGTTAAGTGCACACGCTCCGCTGCTGGCGGCCCGGGTTCGGATCCCGGGCGCGCACCAACGCATCGCTTCTCCAGCCATGCTGAGGCCACGTCCCACATACAGCAACTAGAAGGATGTGCAGCTATGACATACAACTATCTACTGGGGCTTTGGGGGAAAATAAATAAATAAAATTATTAAAAAAAAAAAAGCTGCATATTAGTCCATTGTATGGGTTACCCATAATTGATTCAACTGGTTTTCTATTGATAAAATATTTAAATCATTTCCAGAATCTTCTGCTATTAAAAACAGTACTACAGAGTAGAGATCCTTGAATATTTATTGTTTTCCACATGTGCAAGTATTCCTAGGTACAGATATCTAGGAATGAAATTACTAGGTAAAAGGTATATGCATTTTTTGTTTTGATAGCTATAGCCAGGTGCAAGCTTTATTTTTGTTAGTATTTGCCTTTGGTATATTTTATTTCTCTGTGTCCTTTTGTTTTAGCTATGTCTCTCATGTCAGATTTTGTCTTGTCTAATCCAAGAGTTTTTATCTTTTAGTAGGTGAATTTAACCCATTTATATTTGTAATTACCATATGTTTAGACATAATCCTACAGTCTTATTTTATCTTTTATTTTTATTTGTACCATTTATTTTCTTCCTTTTTAACTTTTTATTGGATCAGTTGGTTTTCTTTATTTACTTTTTTCCTTCTAATGTTCTTTGAAAATTATATATTGATGTGTGTTCTTCTAATGGTTACCCTTAAAATTGTAATGACCACTTTTTTTTTTTTTTCTTGTGAGGAAGATCAGCTAACATCCAGTGCCAATCCTCCTCTTTTTGCTGAGGAAGACTGGCCCTGGGCTAACATTCGTGCCCATCTTCCTCCACTTTATATGGGACACTGCCACAGCATGGCTTGACAAGCAGTGCCTCGGTGTGCGCCCAGGATCCAAACCCTGGGCTGCTACAGCGGAGTGCATGCACCCAACCCCTATGCCACAGGGCCGGCCCTGTAATGACCACTTTAAAATATATTTTTCTCAACATATGGAGCAGTGCTATCCAACAGAACTTTCTGCAGTGCTGGAAATAACATCTGTGCTGTCCACTGTGGTAGCCACTAGCTACTGAGCGCTTGAAATGTTGCTAGTATGACACAGGAGCTGAATTTTTAAGTCTATTTAATTTTAATAGTCACAGTGATTAATGGCTACTGGACAGCTCAAATCTAGAGTGAGTTACTCCATTTGCATCCCCTGTAAAGATAAGTGCTTTAGCCTGCTCATTCACTCTCTCTCACTCACACACACATATAAACACACACACCCCCTCCCTGCCACCACTTCCCACATAGAAATAAATCACTAAAATTTTTGTTCCAGAATACCTTATTTTACATTATGTATCAAAAATTATTTATCTTTAAGTTTTGTTGGTTCCTTTCCTCACTATTTTTTATACATCATGTCTTCCTTTTAGATTCATTTTTGGTTTTGCTGGAGCCCCCATTTATTCTCTCAGAACCTGACTATGCATGGTAAAATTTGAGTCCTTTCTTCTCCATCTCTATTTTACTCTTATTCTTGAATGCTAGTTTGAATGGACACAGATTCTAGGTTTAAAATCAAGTTTTCTTTTTTTTTTTTTTAAAGATTTTATTTATTTATTTTTTCCCCCCAAAGCCCCAGTAGATAGTTGCATGTCATAGCTACACATCCCTCTAGTTGATGTATGTGGGACACAGCCTCAGCATGGCCGGAGAAGCGGTATGTCGGTGCGTGCCCGGGATCCGAACCCGGGCCGCCAGCAGCGGAGCGCGCGCACCCAACCGCTAAGCCACGGGGCCGGCCCTGAAATCAAGTTTTCGTTACAGCTTTGAAGATAAAGTTCTAATGTGTTCTAGTATCCAGTTGAGAAGTCTGATGCCAGTCCAGTTCTCATTCCTTTTCTCAGGTAATCAATTTTCAAGTTTGGTTTCTTTCTGCATATTTTTAGGGTTTTCTCTATTATTGCCATTCTAGAATAAGATGAAGTC